CTGCTGCTGCCATCTTCTAGATGTGAGTAGCTCCTGGATCCTGTGACTCTCCAAGGTGCATAGAGCCACTGCGGATTCTCGTGCCCTGGCCCTGCTAGCTGCCTGATAAACTTCTTTGCATAAGTACACGTGCACTGTCCCTTGAGTTTGCTCTAGAGGCTGGAAGGCTGAGGTCACCTTGTCAGCAGCCTGGATTCCTTCTGAGACTGGATGAGAATCAGTCTGTTCCACCTCTCTCCTGCTTTGTGGTGGCTTCCCGGCTGCCTAGATACCCCGAATCAATTCAAAACACTTGTGGCAATTTCTGTTAAATAAAAACAGTATGGTGTGTTCTCGACCACTGTGTTCATGAGATCTGGCACCGTGTGACTTCTGGCTCTTCTCCAAAGGCAAGACGACTAAGAATGGTAAATAAATGTTTTGAATCAATTCAGGACATGGCAGGAGCCACAGAGTACAATTAAAGACACTCAAGAAAAGGGACTTCCAGAACTGTTTTAGAAAGTGCCAAGAAGGATGGAGTGTGTGTGTTCAAAGTAAAGGGGACTATTCTTGAAGGATTTATGTCAATGTGGTTTTTACTGAAATGGTTCCTAATTTAAACATTTACTCTAGTTTTGGATCACACTTCATATAAACATGCACTCATTTTTTTTTATCCATTCACCTGTTGAAGGACACTCAGACTGATTTCATGTCTCGGCTACTGTCAATATTGCTGCAATGAACATGGAAATGCAAAGTCCCTAAACATACTGACCTCAAAAATTTTGGATAAATACTTGGAAGGGGGACAGCAGAAAGCTGATGCGAGAGGTATTCTAATTTTAATCTTTTGAGGAACCTCAATGCAGTTATCCATAATAATTTTACAAATGTGCATTCCCATGAACAGTGCACAAGATTTTCTTTTTCTCCAATACATCACTCTTACTACCATCCACTTTTATTATTTATAGTATCTATTTATTGAATCTAGGTCCTCACACGTTAGGCAAGCACTGCACCGCTGAGCTACATCCCCAGTCCATTTTGTTCTTTTACTTTATGGTAGGTCTCACTAAGTTGTCCACACTGGCCTTAAACTCCCTATCTCTTGCTTAGCTAACTAAGTAGCTGGGATTGTAAGCATGTGCTACCACTACCAGCTTGTTCTTCCAGTAACAGACATCCTGACATCTGATTGTGGCTTTAATTTTCCTTTCCTTAAATATTAGTACTGTTGAGCATTTTCCCATACATTTGTTTACCATTTTATGTCTTCTTTTGAGAAATATCCATTCAGGCCCTTTGTTCAATTTGTAATTAGACTTTTTTTTTCTCTTATATAGACTTGTTTGATTTCATTATATCAAATGTGTGGCTTGCAACCAGTTTCTTCAATCAGTAGTTTATCTCTTTTCTTGGTTAACAGTTTCCTTTGTTTTTCAGAAGAATTTTATTTTGATCAATCGAATTTACCTACTTTTGCTTTACTGCCTCTGCTTTGGGATTTATATCTAAGAAAAAAGTCATCATCCAGATCAGTGTTACTCTGCTTTTCCTTGCTGTATTTCTACCAGTTCCACAGTTTATTTAACCCATATTCAATTGCTTCTCAACCTTCTGGCTAAGATCAAGTGTAACCCGTATTCAATGTACTTTTACATATGGTGTGAGGGAAGCGTTTACTTTCCTTCTTACATGAGAAAACATGTATATCCAGTCTTCTCCATATAATTTATCAGAAATATGTCCAGTACTGCCCGCTTCCTAATTGTACTCTTGAACCTTGTCCAACATCCTTTGGGCACAAATATCGGGGGCCATATCTGGGCTCGAATTTCTGCTCCACAGGCCAGTGAAGCTGTGACTCATGCTAATGCCAAGGTGTTTTACTGGTCTGAGATCAGTTTGTGTGGGATGTCTCCAACTTTTTTTCTTTTGCTCATGAATGCACCATTTTTCTTTTCTTGTTACTTTGCAGTTGTTACATATGAAGTTTAGAACTGCTATTTCTATTTGTTTGATAAGTGACAACAGAATTTTGATAGCAATCACACTGTTTATATATCTCTTAAAGTAGTGTAGACATTTAAACAATATCGATTCTTCCAACCTATCAATGAAGAATATACTTCCATTTATTTGTGTCCTCTTCAATTTCTTCTTTTAATGTTTTGTAGTTTTCATTTTCTAGGTCTTTCATCTCCTTCAAATATTCCTAAACTGTTTTCTTTTTTTGAGCTACTGTAATGATATTTATAACACTATTGTATTTTCAGAACATTCAGCATTTCCTTGTAAAACCTGTATTGGATTGTGTGTGTTGATGTGGATTCTGCAGCTTTCTGTGCCTGGGGGTTGTTGTTTTTCCCCCAAATTAGGAAACTTTTCAGTCATTACTTCTATTTCTGGCCTTTTGCTACATCTTCTCCTCCTATAAATAAGTTAAATATCCCAACAGTGCTCAATAATTCCTGTCATCTTCATCCTTTTTTTTCCTTTTGCTCCTTTTTTGATAATCTTAAATATTCTATCTTCAAGGTCATATAATCTTTGTTAGCTAGGTTAAATCTGCTGTTGAAGCTTTCTATTTTTTGAATAAGAGTGTACTCATTTTCCAGATTGCTATTTGATTTTTACTGTCTAATTATGTCAAGTTTCTTGCTTTGTGTATTGCTTTCCAAATTACATTTAATATTTTATTCATGCATTCTCATAGTCCACTGCACTTTAAGATGACTACTCTGAATTCTTTGCCTGATATTTCATAGGATATTTTTATTTAGCGTCTATTGTTACTGTTAGCTCCTTTTGGAAGAGTCATGACTTCCTGAGTCCTTGCAAAACTGGTGAACTTTTCTTGGTATCCAGAATTTGAGGAGACAGTGACTTTTTCTGGCCAACAGTGCTCTATAGCCCATAGGGATTTAGTCCTGACCTCAGGTGACAAGGCTTTTCTTCAGCAGCTCTGGAGGTCTGGGTGTCTCCTGCGCAGTCCCCCTGTGGGCACTGTGCTGTGTCAAGAGCTCCCTGGGGCTTTGTTTGCTTTCTTTCTGCTTGTCCGAGGGGATGTGCCCTGCCCTGACTGGTTCACTGTGTGCTCATGAGGTAAAGCCAGGGCAGGCTTCCAGGAAAGGGGCTCAGAACCCCAGAAGCTGAGCATCCGCCTCCAGCTTTTCCTTCCCTTTGTCAATGCTGTGGTTTGGACCAGGCTGCTCTTTGCTCCCGGATGACTTCAGAGGTGGGAGGTGACACAGACATGTGGAGAATATTCCTCCTCCCCTTTCCATGCCGATTTTGATTCCACTGGGAAGGTCAAACATGTGACCTTGTTATTCTCAATAATAATTCTGGAATAATGGCATTCATCAATGTATTCTTTTCTTAAAACGTTTGCATTCATACATTTGCAGTACATAATAATATTAGCTTTAGCTAATAGGAGTCGTGCTTCTGTGAACATGGGTTCACGTGGATTGCTTGTCTGTGGTACTTCTTAGAAAGCCCAAGACTTCCTCTTCTATTCTTTTGATGTCACTCCTGAACATAATCTTGCTTCAAAGTTCTGATTTGTACACTGTTAACAGAAAGAGGTTTGTGTACATGTGTTTACCTTATGGTCTGTCAATCTATTTCTGCCTGTCTGTCTTTCTGTCTTTCAGTCCACAGATGAATCTACTAATCATTTAGGGTTACTACTGGTCAACAGGCAGTAGAAGACACTGATCACTGGGGTAATGGAAATAACCATGGTGGACCTTCATTGGAGAGGCTATTACCTGGTCATAGTGTGAAGTGAAACCAGAAGTAGAACAAAGCAGAGTCCTTCAGCTGAGATGAAGTAACTTAGGATCCAAGATGGCTGGAGTGTCCAGAATTTACACAGGCGAAAACCTTGTCACTTCACCTTGGCAAGACCGTGAGACACTGGACCTTCTCATGGCCAGACTGGAAAGACCAAGGTGTGAACAGCTGCACAGCTGCTGGTGTGGTGTTGCTGTGTGGTGCCAACTTCCCTCTCTCAGCAGCTGTCTCTGCACCTTTCAGCCAGGATTGATTGCAAATGCCTGTTTCCTTCTGGCCTGGCAGCAGAGTTTGTCAGCAGCCTTTTGGATGATTGCCAATGTGATACGAGCAAAGATACCCCGTGTAGTTTTGATTTATGTCTCTGTAATTATGAATGCAATTAATGTCCTCTCCTATGATTAAGCAGTACCTACACTTTTAACTATGATTTGTTTAGTGACATGTGTGGCCCATTTTTCCATTGGGATTTTTCTGAAACTCAGAATTAGGGACATTACTTTTTGTCATTATGTCTTTTTCAAATTTGTCATTTTTATTTTTTATTCAGCAAATATATATATATATACATATTCATAAATGTGTGTGCTCATATATATATATGAACATATCATAGTTACAAGTGTTGTCTGCAACATTTCTACTGTCATAAAATATATCAATCACCCATTTATGACAAGAATTTACCCATGATCTGTTTATTTTGTTTTGCTTTCTGAGACAGGGTCTCATCTTGCTATACAATCTAGGCTGGCCTTGAACTATGTACCCAGGATGGCCTCAGACTCCTGGTGACTCTCCTGCCTCAGCTTCCCAAATGCTAGGATAGCAGGTTTGTGCCCGGCCCTCCCACGTTCTCATTTGTTACACCATTTTTCATCACAAATCTCCGAAGAGTTTAAAGTATTTTGGTGTGTGCAAAGATAAATTAATCAAATGCTCTTTTTTATCTGGTGAAATGCTCCATTATAAGACGCTACTTGTCCTGTAAAGGCCACAGGTCACACGCATGGTCATGTGCACGCAGGAGCGCCTGGCCGCACCCTGGGGCCCCTGCCCACCTCCCGTGTACTCGCCGCCCTGCCCTG